ACCAGGAATCAAACTCATGACTTCGTACTTGCCTGGCAGGCAGGCAGGCGCTGCTCCAATGAGCTATATCCCCAGCCCTTGATTTGTAAACTGGGATGATGAGTATAGCATCTTCACTAAACTCACACATGGGAACCGCTGAACACAGGGGCTGGCACACAGCAAGTCCTCAGTAAATATTAAGGTGCCCCTTTCCACCTTTGGCGAGGCAGAGAATGTGGAGCTGAAAGGGGCTGAGAAAAAGACATCGGAGTCTCCCAGCCTGGAGAGACTTGGAGTCCTCCTCTGAGTGTGGTCTGGCCCAGGCTTAGCTATGCTCTGTAGCAAGGCCAACTTTGGTGCTCACATCAGTGGGATACTCAAGGCCCCACCCATGCCTACACACATACACACACTCACACACTCACACTATGCCTATGCTCCAGGAAAAACCTTCCGGCGGGGATTCCCCCATTCCCCCTGCAGCAGCTGCAGCCCACGACCTGTCAGCTCCCATCAAAACACAGGGTGGATGGGGGTGGGGGTGAAGAGCAACGGACTGGATGGGGGCAACCCTGAAAAGGATTCCATCCCACCCTGCCCTGGATCCCAGCCTTGGCTGGCACCACTCAGGAATCTGTGTGTGTGTGGCAGGGACCATATGTGACCTTGATCTTTCTGCACATGGAAGGGGGACTGGGACTAAGAAAGTCAGGAAGAAGTAAAGAGACTGACAGGGAGAGGCCTAGAGGAAGGGGACAGACTGCCAGAAAGAGACTGAGAAAGAGACAAGAGTCTCAAAGAAGGAAAGGATGGCTAGGGGTGTGGCTCTGCAGGAGAGCACTTGCCTAGCATGATCGAGGCCCTGGGTCCCATCCCCTGCACTGCAATAAAATACAAATTTTATAACTGAAGAAAGGGGGAGGGGTTGACAGTGAAGGAAGGAAAAAAAAATGAGAATAAAGGAGACACAGAAAAGAGAGATGGAGAGGGAGAGACAGACAGAAAGAAAGAAAGTAAGTTAGACATAAAGCTGGAGGAGACAAAAAGAGAGGAAGACAGTTGGAGAAAGAAAAGGAGGCAGGATCAGTTATCCTGCCACTCTGGGTGCCACTCCCCCAATGTGTTTTTCACTCCTCCTAGAGCATGGCGCTGTATGACTGAAACCAATTGCCCAGGGAGGGACACCATGGCTAGGAGCTTCAGCTTAGCACCTGTTTGACTGTAGGGTCTCTAGAGCTTCGAACCCCAATCTGTGAAACAAGTGCAGAGCTCACTTCCTGCAGCCAGAGTGGGACCCAAATGAAGGGAACCACAACAGCAAGGCCTCTTATTGAGAGGCCCTGTACCCTGCAGGCGGAAAGCCAAACCCCATGTGAATCTGAGTTCATATCCCAAGTCTTTGCTATGGGACTTAAGTGTCTCCTCTGTACCTCAGAGTATTCATCAATGAAAGGGGGCCTACCTCATTGGATTACTGAAAGGATTAATATTTTGTAACATGCTCAGCATAGTTCCTGACAAAGGAAAGCCTACATAAATGTTAGCTGCTGCTATCGCCATCATCATTTTTGTTGAACTGGGGACTGAACCCAACACCTTTGCACTGAGCTATATCTCAGTCCTCTACTTTTTAATCTTTAGACAGGGCTTCACTAAGTTGTTCAGTCTAGGTTCAAACGTGTCTTTCTCCTGCCTCAGCCTCCCAGGTACTGGGATTACAGACATGAGCCCCCATGCCTGACCTATTATAGTTAAGGCTCGTTCTCAGCCTCAGCAGGTCAGACTGTTTGATCTTCCCCCATACGAGTACAGGCACACCCCATAACCGTTCAACTCTCTCATTCAGATCTCAAAATCCTCTAGTACCTTTCACCAATATCATCAGGGAACCCCTCTTTACCAACCTCTTTATCCTGGCCTGAGACCCCCATCTGTGCCCCAGAACCTCCTGGGCACCTGAAACTCTCACCCACCTAGGATATCCCTGGAATGGTCACTGGTCACGACTCCCTCACCTAATGTGGAAGTAGGGAGGCACCTGCCCCTCTGGACACTGCTGTGCCTGGCACTGGAGTCCCTACTGGGAAAGATCTAGGTCCCAGCTGACTCGGAACTAGCCCCATACTCCACATCTCCCTCCCTAACCTGAGGGCTCCACTCACCTCTCTTCAGGGAGTCAGGGCCCGGGCCAGTACCTGCAAAGGAACAAAACCACCCTGTTAGCATCCTCTGGCTGCTTCCTGGGCCTCAAGATCTGCCTGGGAGAGCTTCTGAACCCAGGAAGTCCCTAGAGCGCTCACTCTCCACCGTCCTACTGCAGGCTCTGCATAGTCCAGAGGGACCCAGAAGTCATCTCTGGGAAACCTACCCAGTTTACTACCAAAACCCAAGAATCCAAGATTAGCCTTTTGTCATCTGGAGTCTCAGGAGCCAACAGCCCTCAGCCCACTCTTCTCTCCTCCCTCAGGACCCCTGAGTCTGGGACTGGTCCTCTCCAACCCAGGATTCTAAATTCCCAGGCTCTTCCTTTTCAGACCCAGGAGTTAGACTAGATACCACCCCCTTTAGAAACTCAGAGTTCACATCCCAGCCCCCAACTTCAAAGGCTTCAAAACATGTGCAGGCCACATGTGTCTGCACGTGTCTCCCTTACCCAGGGAGTGGTAAGGGCCAGAAGTTTCCATCTGGTCCAATCATAACATGTGTGGACATATCCAATCCAGGTAGCTACAACCCATGGTTCTCCATCAGGACTCCCAGGGACACACCAGCATAATCTGAGTGCTCCCGCCCTCCTTGGGCACATGGCTTAGCTTCTGGGTCCCCAGACCTGGCATACCAGAGCCTCAACCCCACTGGCCCAGAAGTGGAGTCACCTTTGTACCAGGGGTGCAGACACATGTGGCCTGCACATGTTTGAAGACACATATCTCTGCTACTAGAGACCAACACCAAAGCAAAAATGGACTTGCAACATAGACACACACAGTTTGACAGACCTGTGTATAACACACAGCACTGTCTCTCACACACGCATACCCACAGAAGCACAGACACAACAGAGAAACCCAGGTGCCCCCTAACAGGCAACCACGTACCTGCACCTAGAACAGACATACCTTGCACACTCACCAACAGGCTGGAACACACACATAAGACACACACCTGCACAATCAATAATACGCAGGTGCACATTCTTACATTCCAAACACTCATGCAACTTCGACATTTCCATGCTGCTGTCATAAAGCTGATACATTCCCACACAAGATAACACACACGCATACACTAGCTGCTACACACACGTACACAGAACCACAAGCACACACAGACATCTACAAAGCTGAGAAACTCTGGGACACACATGCACACAGATCTACCTTTGCAGACACAAGATGTTCACTAGTAAGTGTCACATATACAACAGTCCCGTGAGGGATTTACACACATAAATGTACACATAATACTGAACGGCAGCAGCACAGCCAACAGACAGGCCCAGAGTCACACTCACAGTCATGGACACACATTCCTCCCCGCACTAATGTACCTTGCCCCACCTACTTGCCAGGCCATACAAATCCTCCCAGCTTACCCAGTATGATCCCCCTCCCCCAAATCGCGGCTGGAGCAAGAGCCAGAGGTCAGAGTTCATCAGGTGGAAGCTGGGGGGGGGGTGTCGGGGTCCTGGAGCAGGGCTCCAAGGAGATCCTCCACCAGCAACCCCAGAGGTCCCCAGCCTGGCCTTCAGGACACAGGCGACTCTGGCCCTATCTGTCCCTATCTGGCCGGTGGAGTTAGGGTGGGGTGGGTTAGAAAGGGCCAGGTCTTCACCCCCCACCTCCACCCCAGGGCCCATCTGTCCATCCCTTGGCCTCTCATCCCTCCATCTGTCCACCTCCCGGCTGCCCATCCCCCCTAGCCACCGGAAAGGGGAAGACATGGCCGTCTCCCCCAAGGACCGCTGAGGACCCCCAGTTGACATGGACCGAGGGAGCGGCGAACTCCCTTCCCCCAAACCCACACCGAGGCCTGGACCCACAAGGCGCTGAGCCTCAGCTGCCGGCTGGGAACCTGATGTGGACTCACAGACACACACCCTCAGAGACATACAACCCGCAGACACACACACACACACACACACAAACACACACGCGCACA